TCTCCACAATGTACAGGTAGGACAATTACAACAACATAAACAGTCAAAAGGACAAACCTGGCGGGCCTTAAAGACCCTAATTATTCCAGACATCGTATAACATAATTTAAATGACTTCCATTATGCGAAAATTAATCACTATGAGTAAAAACCACATAAGAATCTGTGATGTTAGAGAAAAGAGTGGTTTTCTAAAGAACAGCAATGGACACAGTAAAAGGTGTGCGGGTTTGAGTTTGAAAGCATCTTTTACCTTGTCCTTAGTCTAACCAAGATGACATCTTAATAATATTTATTATATCTACTACTAGACAATCATTTTAACTGATTTATTCATAAAGTGATACTGGAAATCAGAAAAAATTACACATAAATTAAACAAATTCCACACGAATTGAAAATGAAATGTGATTTGTTATTTACAGTTAGCATATATGTGTGTATATATATATATGCAGAATACTTCAAAGGAAAGTATTGCTGTTAAATTACTTTTCACAATTTCAATGAATTTCTTTCAGAGAGACCATGTAAAAAAGTCAACATCAGTAATGCATATATTACACGCAATGAGAAGATAAGTTACAACCACCATGAACGAGTCCAATTTGCATGCAGGAACAACAGTAAAAGACGTTTTACTGTTGTCTGTAGCCAAGGTAATTGGACTGGGATTCAGAGCTGTACAGGTAAGACCATACAAGAAATACAGTTAGTCTGTGAATTCATATGTATTTTGATTGGCTATCAGTGTTCCTATCATTCAATTAATTGATAGTGGTATGGCTTCTAATTTAAACCAGTTAACTGCATATCTAAATATCTCAAAATTTGACTTTATAATTGTTTAAAATTCTGGTGCTGTAAATTCAGGGTTACTAGTTATCAATAAAACATCATCTGCATAGAGAAAAGCTTGTGTTCTTCATCACTTGTCTGAACTCCCCATGTGTTTACATTATTTCGTAAGAATAAAACTAAGGGTTCCAGAAGTATGGCAAAAATTAAAGGGGATAAAGGCAATCCTTGCCATACACCACAATTTAACCTCATTAGAGAAGACATAATCACACTGGTTAATACTGTGGCCTCTGGATCAGTATACATTAATTCCATCCACTTCCTAAATATTTGTCCAAATCCAATTTTTTCTCAACTACAGGACAAAAAAGGGAATTCCACTTCATCAGAACAGTTTTCTTAGTCTTTTTAGTTTTGCATGCCAACATGCTCAAAATGACAATGATAACATGCTGATGTATTGCAGGTATGTTTGTGACATTAACTATCTGAGGTCAGCGTGTTAGCTTGCTAACAATTGGTTAACACTACAAACAAAGTACAGTTAAGGTTAATGTGAATTCATTTGGTCATTAGTTCTCAGGTATTCAGTCAAGAACCAAAGTATTGGAGTAGGCGTATTTAAATTTTGACCTGATGGTGGCACTAAGATCAAATGTTAAGGGTTCACCAAAGTGATTACAAATTATCCTTTGGAGAAGGATATGAATGTGTGGATCAAACTTCATACCAAGTCATCCAATAGCTCTAGAGACAAGTTACTAAAAACCACATACAGTATGTAAAGCCATTGGTGGCACTAGAAGAGAAGACAGAGCTTCACCAAAGTCAGTAGGATTCATCTACTCGGGACTTTAAATGTCTGTGCAAAATTTAGTGTTAATCCTTTAAGTGGGTGCAAACTTGTACCTGCTGCTGGCACTGTAGCACAATCAAGGATTCAATAAAGTCATTGGGATTTCTCTTCTGAGCACCACAAATGTCAAATTACATGAAAATCTATCCAATAGTTTTTGAAATATTGCAACAAAGTGGTGGATCAACAGGCCAACACTGTCCCCCCTCAAGCCTTACCACTAGCATGGCTAAGAATGTCTTGTTCCATCTTTTGATTGATGCTCTCTGGATGTAACTTTTTTTCTGTCTTTCATTTATACAGCATGTCCAAAACCCAAAGTTCCACATGGATTTATAGTTGGTCCATACAATGAGACACTGTACTACACCTGTGAGGAAGGTTATAAGCTTGTGACTAAAGGCTGGTGGGGTGAAGCGACATGTAATGATGGCCTGTGGTCGGGACTTGAACAATGCATTGGTAATGAATATTTAATGCCTTACACGTCCAATTATAACCTGCATAAAGCAAATTGACCACAGTGGCTTGTTAATGTAGAATATTAACTTTTTTTTAAGTAAAAGTAAACATTTTAACATTTCTTTGCTTTTGACCTTGAACTCATTGCATTCGATCAGTGTCGCTCTCTGCTGCCTGTATTACCATATTGGCCTGAATATGGGCCGATCCTGATGGGCAACCCACCCGAAGCTGAAATCATGACTCATCAGTGATGCCTTTTCTCTCATACAAGTTAAACATGAAATACATATAAACCCATATTTGTGTATCTTCACAGACTCACTCTCTCTCCTGTCAGGCTCTTGGAAGCAGTCAGAATGATTCAGCTGTCTTTTAGGACTCATAATCTGTAACAGCTGTAAATTTTGGCTGTTTTACAGATTTTCTCCCCGGTTCATTTCTGCAGTAAAGTTGTCAGGAGACGCTCGTCATGATTTTATATCCTCCATGGCAGCAAAACATGTTACATTATCCTTCAGAAACTCCTGCAGGTTATACCGGGCTAACAAGACACTACACTATGAAAGACTCGCTATAGACGCACTGGTAACACTCGCTGGCCTAACAAGATTAAGGAGTTTCTGATGCTGTCAACACATTGACTTGTCCTCAAACACAACCCCCAGCCTAATTTCCTGAAGAGACTGTGGACTTCTATTCGGGCCAGTACAGTATTTTGCAACGCCGTTATAAAACAAGGACATTAACAATCATTATTTCTTGAAAGAGCTCGATCTCACATCTTGCCTCATTCTTCATGCAAAGCACAATCTGATATGACCCCTGCCACAGCACATTTTGGATCAGGCTACATGAATGAATTATTTGTTGCTTCAATTTTATTATAAGTATTTTGAATGGAGAAATTTTATTCATTATTTGTTTGTAAAAATATGCAAACCTAAATGTTTGTTATCATACCAACTCTAGAGAAAAGCAAGTGTGGACAACTTCCTGTAATTCCTAATAGGGAAGTGACATCTCAGCGTAACAAATATGGGCAAGGTGAAAGTGTCCCGATTATTTGTAAGGAAGGATACATCGCTCAGATTAATCACGTAACGTGTGTTGAGGGAAAATGGCATTCAGATGGAACATCACTCAAAACAATCTGTGCACGTGAGTCACCTTCAGTCTTATTTTATCAGATGTAGGCGTTTATAAAGAGATTATGATGTAAAACCTAACACTGAATATGTTTTCATTTCTTGCAGCTATTGCCAGTCACTGTGCTCCCCCGCCTAAAGTTGAAAATGCTGTTGCTGTGACTTCATACCAGAGGGAATACTTGTCTGGCTCTGAAGTAACTTATCGATGCCGTGATCATTATACAATGGAAGGAGACGCCACAATTATATGCAACAATGGGCAATGGGAGGAGAAGAACATTACATGCACACGTACGTACATCCAAAAGCATTTTACAAAGTAACTCGCAGAAAGCCTTAAGAAGATTTACAACATAGTAGTCCACAATATAGTACAAAATCGAGAAGCAAAATTCAAGATTTCACAAATCAATTTATATGATCACTAATCTCAATTCTCATGTCTCGGTGTGTAATCAGTCCTTTTGTTTAGTCCTTAACAAGCAGCTACAAACAACACGTTGCAGCAAAACACTGAAAGTTTAGTCTTTTCGCTAACTTTCAAAACTGTTGTGTAACAACTGTAAATGACATCATGGCATCTTGTTTTCATTCTGCCGGTTTGCTTCCCTTCCTCTCTGTGCTCACATGAACAGTATTTTAGTTCAATCGGACTCCCAATGAAGCTGTTCTCATTTACATGTTTTTATGTTTCTGTTGTTCTTTCAAATAGTGACCAGTCTGACTCTGTGTTGTGTGTGCATTAGCCTGGCTGTTCACAACAGAAGCGAATTTCTCTGCACCAGTCAACAAATGATTTTGACCCACTGCTCTTTTTACAATCACACGTAGCACTGATCTTTATATGAACCTCATGAATTTAGAACCTTGAGCTTTTTATGTTCCTGGATAAACAAAAACCATAAATGTTACATAGAACTGGATGCATGATTTACACCCATCGTTTGTTGAGATGTGATACTGAACACAGAAATCTTCTCTCACAGCTCCCACTCTGGAACAGTGATGCAGATTTTCCTCGAGGTCCAAAGAAGGCTCAGTGAAAATACCCCCCCCCCCCAAAACAACGACTTTTCCATGTTGTTTTTGCTTTGGTTGTTTGGTCAGAACACAGAGAAAGAAAACTGCGTTGTTCATACTAATGTCATCATTCTATAATACATGATCATGTTACATATACAGTAACTGTTGAAAAGGGCAATATTCAGTAGGTTTACATGTGCACTAGTATTCCACCATTATTCTGAATGTGACAATATTCAGAATTTCATATGGCNACTTTTCCATGTTGTTTTTGCTTTGGTTGTTTGGTCAGAACACAGAGAAAGAAAACTGCGTTGTTCATACTAATGTCATCATTCTATAATACATGATCATGTTACATATACAGTAACTGTTGAAAAGGGCAATATTCAGTAGGTTTACATGTGCACTAGTATTCCACCATTATTCTGAATGTGACAATATTCAGAATTTCATATGGCTCGTATGAACAGCATATTCTGTTTGGATATTTTGAATTTGGCCTTTTTCCGAATTAAGCATTTTCTGATAAACACGCTGGATGTGGCAATATTATTAGTGTTTTATGACCATTCTTTGCACATGTATACAGCAGATTTGAATGGGCACATTATGAAATATTTGTATATCAACAGTTTTTTTTAGAATCATTAAAGTTTAAGTAAACGGTGTAGTCAAAGAATCTAATCAAATTGATTATGACTGACTGATTGTTCCCCTGAATGATTTTTACAATGGCCTCGTACTGCAGTGTCAACACTATTGTCACATGCCACATTTAGTGTGGTCATTAAAACTGGACAGAAATGGGGGCGTCGAGTAGCTCAGTTGGATGAGCATCCGCCCCATGTGTAGAGGCTACAGTCCTCGCTGCAGTTGGCCCCGGTTCGAGTCCCGCATCGGACAGCCCTTAGCTGCATGTCATTCCCCCTCTCTCTGCCTCCCCATTTTCTGTCTGTCTTTACTGCACTATCAATAAAGGCACAAAAAGCCCGAAAAAATAACTTAAAAAAAAAAAAGAAAAAAAACTGGACAGAAAGGTTGATATCATCAGCAGATACTCTCAATCGAGGTTTTCATAAACCAGTCGAGTGCTACATTCAAGCAAAACAGCTTATGTTTGCCTTAATGTGATGTTTTTTATTGAAACTTCCCTGGACCAACCTGTCAGGTCAAATTTAATTTGATATATCACAAATGTTTGCTCAAATTAAGTTTGATTAATTCCTCCAGGATTAACATATGGCAAGTCACTAGAGAGGAGCTCCCTTGCTGCATTTTACATAATAGGATACCTAAAAAATAAACTATGAAGGGTCTATAAATTGATTGTGTGTGTACTTATATATGTCAGCTGCTGTGTGGACTGAATGTCCTGCTCCACCTCTGCACAACAGATGCAGAGAGAGAGAGAGGAGCGCCTCTCGTGGATCAGTACTGGTCACTCTCCTTTATAGAAAGTAGCCATGGTCTGTCCACAATGTCACTAGTTGTGTTGTGAGGTGCTTTTTGAAAAAAAATGTCAATAAATGTGTATGTAAGCTAAGCTAAGCTAAGGTAGGACCGCCTACCTGTTTAACATACGGACACAGAAATAAATCAATTAATCAATATAGAAATATACAGAAATTAATAAATATACTAATGAATCAATGTAGATGAAATAAAGTAATAAATAAATAAATAAATCTTGATATGCACAATTTAATAAATCATAAACGTATAAATAAATACATAATTAAATGAATATAGAAATACAGATATAAATAAATAAATATGGAAATATATGAATAAATGTAAAAGTACAGAAAAAGCATTTTTTTTAAAGCATTTTTTTATTAGGCTGCCAAATGTATTTATTTTGCATGTCTTTATGTAACTAATTATTTATTTCTGCATTTATTTATCTATAAACACAAAATAATTCAAATTGTCTATTATTTTCAATTTACTATAGACATCCAAGTAAATACATGTTTGAATGTTGATATTAGTTAAATACTAAGTTATTGCAAAAAATACTGTTCATTTCAATTTATATTCTCTCTCATTCTGTGACGCTGTGACATGAATATAATAAAATATGAGTTGTGGCATTTAATTATTCCATAACAATCATTTTGGCTATTTAAAAAATATATATGTGTGTATGTGTGTGTGTGTGTGTGTGTG